GAGCTGGAGTTCCAGGCAGTTGTGAGCTGCCCATTGTGGGCACTGGGAACGGAACCCAGGTCATCCAGAAGAGCACTACAAAGCCGTCTCTCTAGCTCTTTCTTTGAGACAGAGACTCAAGTAGCCCAGGCTGTCATTGAACTCTGTGTGGCCGAGGATGGCCTTGAACCCCCGAGCCTCCTGCCTCCACATCCCAAGTACTGGGATTACAGGAATGCACCACCATGCCCAGCCACTGTCCCCTTTTGTTAACTGAAGCACCAAAGGCCAACCACATTAACACATCCAACCCAAACAGCCAGGCCCTGCAGAGCAACAGTGGTTCACTGGCAAGACCTGTCAGTGAATGTCAGCAAGACGGGCCTGGATCTTCTCGCACAGCCCACCCATCACCGGAAACTCACCCCTTAAGTGCTGCAGCAGGGGTGGGGTCAAGGCATCCATGTTCCCTACGGACACTCTCAGCTCCATCTCCTACGGGTCACTGCCTTTTGCCGGTGGAATCACATGTGACTCTAGGACTTGGTAGCTCCAACAACCAACCAGCAGTGCCTCTCAAAAGAAGGTTCTCAGCAGACTCCAGGCCACAAGGCCCCTCTAGAAGCCCCTGAGACAGCAGACCCTGTGTTGTGATGGGGTTTGCTGTTATCTTAGGCATCCTTGTGTCTTAGTGTAAAGTTCCTTTCAGTTGGGCTTGGTGGCACACACCTGTAATCCCTGCTTGGTCTACATAGTGAATTCCAGGCCAGCCAGGCCTATATATCAAGACCCTGTCCCCACAACTAGCCAAGACAGAAAGGATTAAAAGAAGGAAAGACAAGACAAATGGGCAGGTGGGAGGAAGGGAGGGAGGAAGGAAGGAAGGAAGGGAGGGAGGACAAGACAAAAAAAAGAAGAAAGAGAGAGGGAGGGAGGGACGGAGGGACAGAGGAAGGGAGGGAGGGAGGGAGGAAGGAATGAAGGAAATTTCTTCCCAATCACCAGGTCCACCCAGCACAATATGGGATGTAGGACTCAGTGTGGTGTCCTGTGGATTGAGAGATGATCCAGTTCAGGTCCCTCTGGCCAGGTCATGACCAGGACGGAGAGCCCCTACTGCTGGGCCATTGCAAAGCAAGGGAGCAGTGCCGTTCTGACAGCTAAAGCCAGTCTGTGTCAGCTCCATGACAGGACAAGTCATGCAGCAAACATCTGTCAACAGGAGCCAGGGGACAGAGCTGGCCCGCTCTAACTGCTTCAGAACAGCCCTTCCATCTGCACGCTCCAGGGCCCTCCCACCCCAGCCTCTCTGTGGGTACCTGCGCCCTGCCCAGGCAGCAAGAAAACACTTGTGTCCCTTCTGCAGGTCTTGAGTGGGAATTCAGAGCCTCGAATTCATGGTTTCTTCCTATAAGCTCTCCTACCCCAGTTTTTATCTCACTAAAATATTCTGCCCCACCAATTACTTGGCCATCCCAGGACTCCGTGCTTGAATGGGGTAACCAGTGAGGTCACTGCTTGAGCCCTGCAGGCTGTGGGAAATGCATGTCCTCTTTATCACTGAAATCCAGTCATAAATGCATTTCAATCAAGAAGAAAAAGCTATCCCAGATAATTCCAAAGAAAGCCAGAAAACCTTCCTTTGGGTTCTGTTCCTCGGAAACTACAGCTAGTAACACATTCTATGCCATCCAGGGACTGGGCTGAGGCAGGATACCACACTGCCGTGATACACTGATCCTGGGACCTGGCTGGCTTCACATGGTGTGGGAGGGAGGCTGTTTTCCTTGTGCCTGAAGCTACCGAATCAGGAAGTTAGCAGGGCTGAGAGTCAGGAAGGATGGCTATGTAGTGGATGAAGAGGTTTGATTGGAAACTAGGAGGGTGAGAGTGAGAGGTGCCTACAGAGTAGGCTGGAACCATGTAAGCTTCAGAGTCCTTACCTCAGCTTGCTGTGTTCCAGCCTGCAGAAGCCCTCCTCCTCCTCCTCCTCCTCCTCCTCCTCCTCCTCCTCCTCCCTCCCTCCCTCCCTCTCTCACTGAGTTAAAGACACACCTGGGCCAGTGCAGAAGGAGAGACCTGGAGAGCATGTCATGAGATTCCCACCTGCCAGGCGAGCCAGGCTGTGACAGTGGGTCTGAGCCGTGAGCGAATTTGACTTCATGCTAGGCTCAGACCTTCTAGGTGCAAAGTGAGAATGTCTGCGACGTCCCTTCTGCTTTCTAGACAAACTACACAAAACACCCCCTTCTCTTGCAAACCCAGTGTTCTGCATGGAAAGGAGCCCTGGGAAGCACATCTTAGGTTCAGCTTACCACAGTCACCCTGGCGGAGACAAAATGAGTCTTCCTCCAGACTTGTTGCAAGACCTGGCCCTCCCTCCCAGCTTCTGAGGCAAGCGGATACCATCTGCTCCAGCTTGAACATCAGGCAGCTGGTTGCTTCCTTCCTACCTGCCTTCCTTGGAACCTGTGTGGCCTCAGGCAAAGCACTCTACCACCCTGAGCTTCTGGCGTCACTCTCACTGTGGGATGAGAACATCTGCCTAACATGTGGGTGCTCGGGGCTAGGCAGCCTCCTGCATGGCGGAGCCTCCTGCATGGCGGAGCTCAATGCACCTGTTACCACACTAGCGTGCTCAGCTTTGTTCTCCCTGCTCAGTCACCACTAGACTTCCTTTTTGTCTCCTTTTCAGTCTGGAGACAGCTATGAGCATGTACACTCACGCACGCGCGCACACACACACACACACACACACACACACACGCACGCACGCACGCACACACGCACTGACATCCATGTGTTAATACATTTGGCCCGTCTTGCTGCCCCATTTGAGTCCAAAGCACAATTTCAGATGCTGGCATGGGTCCTGTGGTCTCCAGGGCCTGCTGAGTGTGTATTCATGTTCTCCACTGACTTTTACACACTGAGCATCCCGGGGCCTGCTGAGTGTGTGTATTCACATTCTCCACTGACCTTTACACACTGAGCATTTCCATATCTCTTAAAGGGCAGCCATGAAATCTCAAGGAGATGACTTATCTGACGGTGTTTCTGCTAAGGAGTGGGCAGACCAAAAATGAGGAGGTTTCTTCACAGGTTTAGGGGTTCACTCAGCTCTCTGTTTCCTCAGATCTGTTCATAGCCCTGCAGGCAGACCCAAGGTGGCAATGACCATGTGCCGTTCCACAGAGTCAGGATGAATCCTAGAGCCCTGCCAGACTAACCACCCAGGGGAGAATTCAAAGAGGCATTTAGAACAGAGAAAAAAAGGGGCTAGCTTTTGCTTTGAGTGCTGGGCATCTCTTGGGAACCCCCTAGTGTGGGGGTAGTCACTGAATTGTACTGCATTCTGTTTCCTCCTTCATTGGGAGTACGTGATGATGGGCAAAGTGAAGGCTTAGCGTCAGATCCTCAGATCTGACTCTGGGATCAGTCTCCCAACCTCTCCTGGCCCTAGTAGATAAATAGAGGTTCCTTGTGGTCCCATTCAGCCCAAAGCCTCCATGCTGTGTTGCTGTTTTTCTAACCTCACAGCATTCCTGGCCTGGCTGAGCATCTTTGGATACCAGGGCTCAGAGCTAGGAGGCCCAGAGAGAAGGACCTGACCATCTGCCCTTCTGTAGAACTTACCAGCAACATGACACCCAGCCTGCCATCCGACCCTGACAGGAGAAGCAGGGTCCAGGTCTCTTAATGCCATCAAAACAGACACCAGGCATCAGAGGGACACTTCTGAGTTCCCACAAACCCACTCAAGGCTGCGCTTGGGAAATGGTTCTGATTTTGGAAAAAAAAAATGTGTGTGGGTATACGTATTGGTGTGTGTGTGTGTGTGTGTGTGTGTGTGTGTGTGTGTGTGTGTGTGTGAACTTCAGTTGTCAGTCTTGTGGCTGGCTATTGAGCCAGGAATCTGCCTGTCTCACCTCCCCACTACTGAGATTACAAGCACACACCACCACGCCCAGCTTTTTTTTTTTTTTTTTAATGAGTCCTGGTGATCCAATCCAGGTCTTCATGCTTGCTCAAAGCAGGCTCTTTACCAACTGCACCATCTCTCCCAAGCCTCCCCCTCCCCAATTTTCATGTGTGAAATCAGCATGTGAGGCCCACTCTGGTATTGTTTAAATATAGTCGCTAGTGTATGCCAAAACGTGTGAATTTGGGGTGATCTCATATAATTAACTTTATTTAGAAAGTGTTTGAACGCTGGAGTTCTCTAAATAGAGACCTCATGTGTCCTGCACATTTTGGAGATGTGAGTGAAGGAGCCTGGGCCCTTCCTTGGGAAGAACCCTCTTGTCATATTGGCATAAGAAAGCGCCATCTTTTACAAGGTGATAGATGAGTTGGGATTTTCAATGCCCTTGGTGAAAACTAGGTAGTCACTCTGCCACTAACTGTACTTCCAGCCCCCTTGAATCTTATTTAAACCATTTCTTTCCACTCAGTGACATCTCAGAACCCCTGCATCCCTGGATCCGCACCAGGTGAGCATTAGGAGTCTCATTTTAATTAGTTAATTGGTTCTCTTTGAGACATAGTCTCATGTAGTCTAGGCTAAACTCAAACTTACTCACTATGGAGCAGAGGCTAGCCTTGAACTCCTGACTCTCCTGCCTCCTCCACCTCCCAGGTGCTGGGATTAGGGGTGTGCACCAGTATGCTCCCAGAAGGAGTCTCATTTTATATTTTGAGGAAAATCAGAGAGATTCAGACAACCCAGAGGTTCAAGACCACACAGCTGCAGAAGCCAGGGCTGGAGCCAGATGCTGCCCTCTCTAGCCAGGTGCCCAAGGTGGCGCAGGACTGTGTCTCATCTTCCTCGAGAAGACGCATGAGCCCCAGGTCTGGCTTGAAGGATGCCAAGGTTTAAGAAAATGAACTCAGACAAAACTCAAAAGGCATCTAAGAAGATCTGTTTCCACCTCCATCCCTGAGGAGATGCAGGTGCCTCAGGGGTTAGAAAGGTTTAGGCAATCCTACCCCAGCCCCATCAGAGGAAATGCTGGGTGGTGTTTACTAGCCTTGAGAATGGGTTTTATTTAATATCTACATAACAGATTTATAGAGTTAATTTGGCTTCTACTCGAGTGAAAGGTCTCTGGAGGGTGGTAATGACAGTTCAGTTCCAGAAATTGAAAGAAAAGTCAACATGGCGCTGGCCTGGAGCTGGGGGGAACTTCTGGGCCCAGATCCAACTTCACAAGTGCAGGCTCAGCCATCCTGGGAGTTTGCCAAGCCTGGATCAGAATTCCCTCTCTGGGACTCTGGAAAATGAAGTGTAGTCCTGGGGTTCTGTCCAGCCCAGTGGAGCACAGAGGAAGACAGATCTAAGACCTTGGGGGTGTGCATCAGGGATACAGCAGAGGGGGACCTCGACTGTGAGGGGCACCCCCGGAGCAGAGCCCACGCAGGGCATTAGCAGAGGAAGTTGGGGTAATACTGGTAAAGAGGATTGTAGCTCCAGAGGTTTCTCCGCAGGCAGTAGACCAGCTTCCGGTCACAGTCACAAAGCTTCCCCGGACAGTAGGACATATATTCTACAAAAGGAAAGCCAAGGGCAGAATGAGCATGGGAAAATTGTGCTCCACCAGCACTGACTTGTTCAAAGTCACATCGGAAGGTGGCTTCTAGTCTGCACAGCCCCCCATCTGTGCCCTGCTCTGAGGGATCTCACAGTGTGTGGAGGAGGAATCTGCACCAGGGTGACACTTAATCTGATGGGAGAGCTTCAGTTCCTGAGCTAGGGAGATGTGTAATCTGATGGAGGAGGCTCGGCTGCTGAGCTAGAGGCCAAGATCTCGATCAGGATGAGGCTTCCATTCAGGGAGTGCCCCATCTGGTGGAACAGACACATCCCCTTTGGGTGGAGAGCCTAGCTTAAGGGTGGAGACGGTTTCTATGGGAGGCATTCAATAGAGATGCACCTGGGGCCGGGCTTTGAACTCAGGGGCCTGGACATGAGTCCTGCTGCACACTGGCAAAGCTTTGAGCTTCCGTTACACATCTGAAATAAGGAGATGAAACCTACACTATCCAGGGAGAGGACATCTGCTAGCCCACAGTACCTAGTGAATAGTGGGTCTAAACTGGGCCCACCCTTCCCTGGAAACCTAAAAAGGCTGCCAACAGTCCCATGCCCCTCACCCTCACACTGCCTCACGAGACACAGGCTGGCCCATCTCTTAGGCAGCAGAACTCCCAGCCTGAATGGGAAGTCACCCTTACCGCAGACGACCAACCCCTGTATGAATCTGTAGTTATAGGATTGGGTCCAGATGCTACAGCCGTTCTCCTCCAGTTCCCCATAACAGCGGTCATGCATCTGACAGCACCTGTCAAAAGGAGAGATAGGGGTGCTGGGGGGAGAGGCACCCTCCTGACCTCTGTACCTGGGAGACTTCAAGTCAAATGTAAACAGAATTAGAGCCAGAGGTGGGGGGGGGGGGGGGCGGTGGAGCATGATGACACTGTGCTTGGTTGTTTAAGCTAAGTTCTCTCTGAAGGACTTTCTAAAGCCCCCCCCCCCCCCCAACACACACCTATGAGAGGTTCTCTCTTTGTCCTGCATGCACCCCAAGCTTTATGCAGCTTGCCTGAGAGGACAGATGCCTGGGACGAAGTTTGACTTTCTAAGACTGTGGCAATTTAGCCAAGATGCTCTACATAGAAGGCTTGCCCAGTAACAGCACCTCCACCAATGAGCCGACACCAGCTCTTGCCTCTGGTCTCCACAACCAATGAGCTTGGTATCTGAGCAGCTTATGTAAAAGTGCTGGCTCTTGGGCTAATTAAAACTTCCCCTTACCTCACCCTCCTTGAATAGGCCCATGGTTTCTACGGTAGCATGCATATTCTCACTGCATGCACATTCTCACTGCGGTGCACCACTGTTCCAAATCAATGGCCATTCTTTGAAGATTCTCTCTGCATGTTATTTAGGCTAACATCCCTAGCAGGTGGGAAACTGTAATCACGTCCCTCTGGCAGAAGCTGTGGCAGTGGGTGTGAGCTGGCAGGGAGACTGTCTGGTAAGTTAGCCCCAGTCACCCACTAGAACTGTCACTGGTCAGAAGTTCAGCGACCTGTTTTTGCCTCCTAATAGCTAGATGGAGCGTAAGTGTGATAATTTGAATGAAAATGCCCCCCCCTCCATAGGCTCACTGGGACTATCACTATTAGGAAGTGTGTTCTTGTTGGAGTAGGCATGGCCTTGTGGGAGGAAGTGTGTCACTGGGGGTGGGCTTTGAGGTTTCAGATGCTCAAGTCAGCCCAGTGTTGCTCCCTACGGATCCAGGTGTAGAACTCCCAGCTACCTCTCCAGCACTGACTCTGCCTGCATGTTGCCATGCTTCCTGTCATGACGATAATGGACTAAACCTCTGAACTGTAAGCCCAAATAAAATATTTTCCTTTAGAAGAGTTGCCGTGGTTATAGTGTCTCTTCGCAGCAATAAAACCCTAACTATGACAGAAGTTGGTACCAGGGACTGTGGTTTGCTGTGATAGGCTGAACCATGCTTTTGTCTGGAAGAATGTGGAACACTTTGGGACTTTGGACTAGAAAAGCGACTGAACACTTTAAGCGGGGCTTAATGGGCCATCCCAGTAGGAGAATGGAAGACAGTGGTGGTGAGGGTGATTTGAGCTGTGGGAGCCTGGCTTATGAGGCTTCAGAGGAGAGGAATATTAGTATGTGGCCAAAGACTGTTCTTGTGATACTTTGGCAAAGAATGTGCCTGATTTCTGCCCTTGTCCAAAAAAAAAAAAAAAATCTCCCTGAAGCTAAATTGACCAGCTATGGATTAACAGCTTTGGCAGAGACCTTTCCAAAACAACCTAGTATTGACTGTGTGGCTTGGTTATTAGTGCCAGTCTTATGCAGATCTAGAATGAAAAGGAGCAAGCTGAGTAAGGAAAAAAAATGTACAGTTTGAGGAGAAAAGGAGCACGGAAGTATAATGGAGCTAAGTCCTGTGTTCAAGGAGATAGATAAAAAGATTGAAGAAAAGCCTGATGCCAAATGGAACAAAGGGAGTGGTGACCTCAGGGCGAGACCCCACCCTGCTAAGCTTCCAATTTATGAGAAGGTTTAAAAAAAAAAAGTTTAGGGCTGGGTGTGGTGGCACATACCTTTAATTCCAGCACTGGGGAGGAAGAGGTAGGTGGATTTCAGAGTTCAAGGCCAGCCTGGTCTACAGATCCAGTTACAGGACAGCCAAGCTTAAGTAGTGAAGGAGACCATCAAAAACAGAAAACTGGTGAAAGTGTATTTGAACAAGGGGGCATGTTCCGGGCCCAGCAAGCAGCAGAACTTGGCAGCTTCAGCCTTGTGGTTCTGTCTTTAGAGTTAAGGATACAAGAAACAGGCTATGCAATCTCTCTCCACGACCAAGGAAAGCTGCTGAGGCCAGGCATGCGTCAGGGGTGTCCCTGCATGGAGGCCGAGAGGGGCCATTGTACGAAGATGTGAAGGCAAAGCCAGGATTGCCTTGGAGAACCCAAGATGTTGGAGATGCCGGAGTTTGGGGACACCTGTCAAGGAGAGCTGCTAACAGGGAGTGGAGCCAGCCCAAAAGAAAGAAGTGTGTTGCAGTCAACAAAGCTGAAATGAGTTAGATATCTGAAGAACATTTCAACATTAGACATGGAGATGCAGAGTTTGGAGTTTGCCCAGCTGGTTTTCGGTGTTGCTTTGGTCCAGTATTTCCTCACTATGTTCCCTTCCTCTCTTTTGGAATGGTTTTGTATATCCTGTGCCATTATATGTTGGAAGTATGTGATCTGCTTCCTCATGTTGATTTTACAGGGGATTACAGTTAAGAGACTGCATGAATCTCAGAAGAGACTTTGAACTTTGGGCTTTTAAACAATGTTGAGACCGTGATAGACTATGGGGACTTATTAAATAGGACTTACTAAGTAAGAATGCATTTCTGCATTATTATATGGCTACAAGTCTATGAGGGCCAGGGAGTAGAATGTGGTAGTTTGAATGAAAATGGCCCCCTATGGGGGCTCATAGGTAGTGGCACTATTAGAAGGTGTGTTCTTGTTGGAGTAGGCGTGGCCTTATTGGACAAAGTGTGTCATAGGGGTGGGGCTTTGAGGTTTCAAATGCTCAAGCCAGGCCCAGTGTCGCTCTCTGTCTGCTGATCCAGATGCGGAACTCTCAGCCATCTCTCCAGCACTATGTCTGCCTGTCGTGGGCAGCTGTCCTAGCTATGACCTTGAAGCACCACCCCTAGTGAGGTAGCAGGTAACTATTACACCTGCCTACGACCTTGAAGTACATGCCCTTGGGGCATGGCCGCTCAGGACCCTTAAGACCTGAGATGCATGTATGCGTCTCTTTCTTGGCTCCCCCATGGTTTTGGATGCTGGAGACAGACCAGGCAAAAGAACAGCGTGGGACTGTGCCTCAGCCTTCCAGGACCCTGCAATAATTCCTCTGTTCTGTATGGTGAGTTTTCCTTCTCTAATAAATTCCTTTGCCCTTTAAGAAGACTCCATGGACTGCTAGCAATATTTGGCCCATTATCTGGTACCCAACATGGGGCACGAACCCACAACCCTGAGATTAAGAGTCTCATCCTCTACCGGAAGTGCTGTGGGATGTCTTTCTATACACTGTGAATATGTGTTGCTCTGATTGGTTAATAAGTAAAGCTGTTTGGCCAATGGTGAGGCAGAATAAGGTTAGGTGTTACATTTGAACTGAAGAGAAAAGAAGAAAGGAGAATGGGGGAGATGCTGTGAGCTGCTGCCAGGAGAAGCAAGATGTGAAAGTACTTGTAAGCCACAAAGTCACATGGCAAGACACAGATTAATAGAAATGGGTTGAGTTATGTTCTAAGAGCTAGCTAGCAAGAAGCTTGAGCCACAGGCCATACAGTTTATAATTAATATAAGCCTCTGAGTAATTATTTTATAAGCAGCTGTGGGACCGTGGGTGGGAGAGATTTGTCTGAACCTTGGGGCCAGGCAGAACCAGAGAAACATCTGGCTACATCTGCCTGCCTGCTTCCATGCTCTCCTCATGATGATAATGGACTAAACCTCTGAACTGTAAGTCAGCCCCAGTGAAATGTTTTCCTTTATTGGAATTGCTGTGGTCACGGTGTCTCTTCACATCAATAAAACCCTAACTATGACAGTAAGGCAATGGTTAGACTACATTTCCCAGTTTCCCTTGCAGGTGGGTATGATGACTGCATGGCCAAGTTCTAGCCAAAAAGAGTTGTACATGGCTTCCACACCTGCCACGAAAACCTCCTATGTATCTTCCCCTTCTGTTTCTCCCTCTTTAGATGGTAGAGATGACCCAGCAGAGGACAGCTGAACCATAAGAGGGGATGTGCTTCAGGTTTGTTAATCAATACGAGTTACATGATACGAGTGAACAAAAACTTTACTTCTAGTGTGTTGTATGTGGTGGCTTTATTTGCGTATTTTTAATTTTATTATTTTATATGTGACATGTGACGGTGCTTTGCCTACATGTATGTTTGTACACCACACATGTGTCTGAGGCTCAGGGAGGCCAGAAGAGGGTGTCATATGCCCTGGAACCGGAGGTGCAGACAGTTGTGCGAGGTCATGTAGGTGCTGGGCATTGAACCCAGGTCCCTTGAAAAAGCAACCAGTGCTCCTAACTGCTGGGCCACCTCACCGCCCTGGATTGATTGATTGATTGATTTGATTAACAAAAAACTTGAGGCCAAACAGGGAAACTCCTGGTTCCTTCCACTACTAACACCTGATTTATATGCTGCATTTGCTATAATTAATGAACTGATATGGATTATTCTAAACTAAGAAACCAATTCGGGAATTGATAATATATTATCAGTTTCATTAATTGTAAAAAAAATCTGCCGGGTGGTGGTGGCGCACGCCTTTAATCCCAGCACGCGGGAGGCAGAGCCAGGCAGATCTCTGTGAGTTCGAGGCCAGCCTGGGCTACCAAGTGAGTCCCAGGAAAGGCACAAAGCTACACAGAGAAACCCTGTCTCGAAAAACCAAAAAAAAAAAAAAAAAATCTATAGTTTATTTTAATTTCCTTAGTGTATTAATTACTTCTCCCTGAGGGAGGCAGGGTTTGCTTTGGCTAGTAGTTTGAGACAGCCCATCATGGCGAGAAAGGCAGAATGGCTGGAGCATGGGGCAGCTGCTCACATTGCATCTATAGTCAGGAAGCAGAGTGGAGACAGAGTGGATTTGGCTAAGACACTTCAAGGCCCACCGAAGTGACCCTCTTCTCCCAGCTAAGACTCACCTCTTCTTCCAGCTAGGCCCCACTTTAGGGTCCACCCCAAAGTATTCAAACACATGAGCTTATGGAGGCCATTTTCCATTCAAACTACAATATTTGTGTGTGTGTGTGTGTGTGTGTGTGTGTGTGTGTGTGTGTGTGTGTTTGCAAGTTCGCACGTGTACATGTTTGTAAGTGTATACATGGGTGTGTGTATATGTGTGCATGTTTGCAAGTTCATGCATAGGTGTGTGTGTGTGTGTGTGTGTGTGTGTGTGTGTGTGTGTGTGTGTACATGAAGGCTAGATAGTTGTGTCATGTGTTTCCATCAACCACTCTCCACTTTTTTTTTGAGGCAGGGTCTCTCCCTGGAACCTGAGGCTCACTGATTCAGTTAGACTGGCTGGCCAGCAAGCCCCAGGAATCTGCCTGTCTCCACCTCCTCTTGGAGGAGCATCCAGTCTTTTAATGTAGATTCTGGGGAACCAAACTCAGGTCCTCATGCTTGTACAGCAAGGATTTTTACTGACCGAGTCATCACTCCAGCCCTGTATCTATACATGTCTATGTAATATTACATATTAAGCTAAACAGGAGTTTATAATGATGTGTTCAACTATAATCCATTACCACATAGGTCATTCTAGCATTCTCCGTAGAGTCCCAGTTCAACTTGGCCCCAACTCCCTGATGTCCATTTGATGCCATCCATCATGGCACCCACTGGCGTCAGAACTGCTAATGCTGTACACTGATTTTTCCAAAGAACAGCATCTTCCTGTCTCACACAGTCTTCTAGAATGGCAACACTCCCTTATCAAAAGGTAGAATCCAGATCCTCCCTTTCTCTTTTCAAGTTGACACACGTGGTATACATATGACATGGTACTGTACATCATCCCATTGAAACTTTTCATCTTGCCGGGTGGTGGTGGCGCATGCCTTTAATACCAGCACTCGGGAGGCAGAGCCAGGTGGATCTCTGTGAGTTCGAGGCCAGCCTGGTCTACAAAGCGAGTTCCAGGACAGCCAGGATTGTTAGATAGAGAAACCTTGTCTCAGAAAAAAAGAAAGAAGCTATTCATCTTGACTGCCAACTTGATTGGTTTAATAGCTGCCTAGGAGATTATAGAATCCCACCCTTGGACGTGTCTATGAGGGATTCTCTAGATTAAATCGTGTGGGCTAATGAATGGCTTCATCTACTTATAGATTCATAATACAATAGCATGTTGGGCCGTGGCCCCCCTGTTGCCATGCTTGCTGACTTTGACCAGATGTCCTCCATATGCTAATTCCCTGCCGGGTTCCTTCCTCCTGAATGCTCACTGGAGGTTCTTTGTTTGTGTATCCTGCATTTGGCATAAACAGCTAGGATGCAAGTATGTAAAACATCTGTAGCGAACTTCTGCCCTCCGGGTTCTCCCACTGTGCTGTAAGCCTGTATTTAAGGCCTCCCTCCTTCAATAAACGGCATTCGGCATTCTACTAAGACGAATAACCCGCTGTCTTGTCTCTGTTTTTAATCCTCAGCCCCTCGCTCGGACATGGTGAACGGGTGGTGGCGGCGCGGGCATTACTGCTACAATGGCATTTTTAGGATGTGGTGAAAGGTGGAAGTAGGACCTAGTTGGAGGAAGTGGGCCACTGGAAGTGTGTCCCTGGAGATGATAACCTTGCCCTGTCATCTTTCTGTACCCTTCTCTCTGCTTCCTGTTCACCGTGAAGGAGCTCTAGTGCCACACATTCCCACCATCATATCCTGCCTTAAAACAGGCCCAGAAACATCGACCCAAGTGGCCATGGGCTGAACCCTTTGAAACTGTGAGCCAAAATAGCTGATTACACTCTTAAGCTGTTCTGACAGTTATTTTGTCACAGTGAGAAAGGGGAATAACTAAGTTAACCATGACATTGCACAACCATTGTAAGGATGCAAATCACTTATCCATCACCTCAAATCTGCATTTCTTTGTGGTGAGACCATCTGAGATCTCTCTTGAGCTGCTCATCTCCTGAGCTGCTCTTCACATTGACTGCAGTCGTAGAACATCCCCCGCTGCATCTGTGTACTCATTGGCTAAGGTCTCTGCTCTCTGGAGCTTTTGTGCTGGACCAATTAAGAGAGCTGCGCAGGCAACACTGTGGAGTTTTGGAGGTCTATGATAAAAATGCTATCTTTTATTGTTTTTGAGACAGGGTCTTGCCGTGCAACTAAGGCTGACCTAGAACTTGCTGTGCAGCCCACATCAACCTCAAACTCTTGCTCTTCCTGACTCTACTTCCTCAGTACTGGCATCGCAGGCCCACACTCCCACATCCAACTAGCCATCCTCTTTTGCCTTGTAGTTTGGCAAGGTTTGTTCATACCCCCAAGTGTCATCATGCTGTTAGAAAGTCGAGACAGCCCTGCAAAGGACCCATAGAACGGGCCTGAGGCTCCACCCACAGACAGTGACAACCCTAGGCACAGCCAGGAGCGGCCTGTGGTGTGGATCATCCAGCCCCAGACAAGCTTTGCAAAAGAAAACTGAGCAGATAGGAGTCATCCTGCCAGCCATCCCCAGACGGCAGGTGGATGAGCAAAGTAAACAATCACGGTTGCATTAAGCCAACATGAAAGGATCATCTGTTACCGTTCAATAAACCAAGTGACACATTAGGCCACCGAGATCTTGGAACTCTTGGGAGTTACGTGGCATATCTTTAAAAGCTGCTTAATTCCTCTGAGCCTTAGTTTCACTTATTTAAAAGATTTATTTTAGAAGCCAGGTATAGTGGAGCATACACTTAATTCCAGCACTTGGGAGGCAGAGGTAGGTGGATCTCTGTGAGTTTAAGGCCAACCTGGTCTAAAGAGTGATTTCCAGGACACCCTGGGCTACATAGTGAGACCCTGTCTCGATAAAAATCTATTTTAGTTTCAATTGTGTGTGTGTGTGTGTGTGTGTGTGCATGCACATGTGAACACTGGTGCCTGAAGAGGCCTGAGGCATCAGGTTCCCTGCAGCTGGAGTTACAGGTGGTTGTGAGCTGACTAACGTGGGTGCTGAGAACCGAACTCAGGTCGCCTGCAAGAGAAGTGTGCACTCCTAACCACTGGGCCATCTCTCTAGTCCTGAGCCTCAGTTGTAATTCTCATTTAGAGTAGACACGTGGAATCAGGGGAGGTGATGAGGGCAGAGTCAGAGCATTACATGTGATGACGTCAGCTCACCAATCAGTACCATCCTTGGGGGTCCCTTTGCCGCCCCAGCCACAGTAGCAGCCATAGAAGCCATAGTTCATTATTGGATCCTTCCCAGTCACCTTCGCAATCATGGACTTCAGTTCTAGCAAGCCCCCGGGCACTGCAGGCACACCTGGAAAACAGCCCAAGCCCCCCAATGACACCGGGCACTCTGCAGCAGCCCACCCGCCTCCCCTCACCCTCTCTTATCCTCCCAGTTAACGGGAAGAGGGCCAGGCAGACGACATAACCTGGACTAGAGGTTAAAAGTCTGTCAGCCGGGCAGCGCTGGTACAGGCGGATGGATCTCTGTGAGTTTGAGGCCAGCCTGGTCTACAGAGCTAGTTCCAGGGTAGTCAGGGCTACACAAAGAAACCGTATCTTGAAACCCACCCCCAAAAAAACAGTTTGCACTTGGGGGGCGGGGGATGTGGCTCAGTTGACAAAGGGCTCACCTAGCATGCATGAAGACCTAGTTTTGATCACCAGTACTTTGCAAAGTGGGTGTGGAGCATGATTGTAATCCTAGCACCCACGAGGCAGAAGCAGGAGGTTCAGAAGTTCAAGGCCAGCCTGGGCTACAAGAGATGCTTTCTAAAAAACAATTTTTTAAAAATTGAATTTAGAAGCAGAGTAGGTCATAGCTTGGTGTCAACTCCTTTGTGTTATAAATTGGGAAACTGAGCAGGAGCACTCAGTAAGTCTAGAAGGAAGCATCTTGCCTAGGGTTTTCAGTTCAAGGAGCCAGGGGCACTTTTCCTGCCTTGGGTCTCAAGTTCCTCCTAGGATCTCCAAATAGCTGGCATGACATCAAAGAGCAGAGTTGCCCACCAGGGACTTGTATGAGGGTCTAGGGGACTGCAGTGAAGCCTAAAGCCAGATGTATTATACCAGGCTCCGAGACCTTAGCATGACTGACTCCATGATGGAAGTACCATTCAGGCCATAAAACTCAGCACGCATACAGCACCATCAGCCAAAACAAAAACAAAGGCCTAATCCATCAAAGTCCATCATAGTTCTGGGAAAGTGTCTAATTGTACTAACCCTGCTCCTTGGCTTCTGTAGTTCCGCTTCTGGCTAACTGTTCTTGTTAAGTGAAGTATGTCAACCCAGAATACAGTTTTTGTACTTAAAAGCTCATCCTAACAAAGGTTCACCCAGTGTAGCTGCCAGCCAGCTAATAAACTTTCTATTGGATTAAACCCATGTCCAAGCAGTCTTCTCTAGTGGCTGCCCCACAACTTTTCAGAATCTCCCAGATGGGGTGGGATGCAAAAATACTGAGCAGAGAATGACTCTGGAATCATCAGCTGGGGTCTGTCTGTCTGTCTGTCTGTCTGTATCTATCTATCTATGTATCTATGTATCTATGTATCTATGTATCTATCTATCTATCTATCTATCTATCTATCTATCTATCTATCTATCTATCTATCTATCTGTTGTTCATTGAACCTAATGTACTACTATGCCACAAGTGCTGCTCCTGAGCTGGCCCCCAGCCCAGAGCTGGGATATTTCCTAAGGATTTTGTACTCTACTCTGTTCTTGCCATTTGTCCTTACTCTGTTTTTACACTTCGGGGAAATATCTGCCTCCCACATTCACAAGCTCCATGGGAAATATCTGCCTCCCACATTCACAAGCTCCACATCTTCACCTTCCCAGCCTTCACACCCTGACCTACAGTATCCGAATCCCACCACAGCCCCATGTCACCCAGCACAAAAGCTGCTATCTTCGTCCGCCCCAGAAGGGCGGAGCTGAGACTCAGACACAGGTCTCTGAACCTCAAAGGCTGATTCACCTTCCTTTCCACTACCAAGTCACTCCAAAGATTGGGGTAGGGGGGCATTCAGAGGTCACGGAGCCAACACTTACTGCAAGCCAGGAACCAAGCCAGTGTGAGGAGGCCCTTCATCTCTTGGGTTCTGGAAAACAAAACACATCCCATGGTGTCTTTGAAGTCATCACTGCCAAGGCCTGTTTAGACCCCACCCAGCTCCAAACTAGGTCTGAGTGTTCCCTCCCTCATTGGGTAATCCACGGACTGCTCCAGCCGGAAAAGACGAGGCAAAGCCTCCAGGCCTTGATCTACCGAATTCGCTGGAGACAGAGGGTCATTACTGACTCCACTAGAGAGTGGCAGTGACAAGTGCCCTCTACAGTTGTCCCCAGCAGATGTGTAAATGGATACTAGGGGCACAAGGTTAAGGGCAGGAATTGACGGGCCCTAGACACAGCTAAAAATCAGTGTGGAGGGCTGCTGGTGAGGTGGCTCAGTGGGGAGAGGCGCCTGCTGACAAGCCGATGACCTGAGTTTGATCCCGGGGACCTACATGGTAGAAGGAGAGAGCTGGTTCCCGCGAATTGTCTTCTGATCTCCAGGTGCACACCTTTACATATATGCACCATACACTAAATAAAATGTAAATAAAGAGTGGAGGGACCTGGAGCACTGATAAGCAGAAGGAGCTGGATCACCGAGGGTGGAGGGAGCTGGAGCACTGATGAGCAGAAGGAGCTGGAGCATTGAGGGAGGAGGGAGCCAGAGTACTGAGGGTGGAGAGAGCTGGAGCACTGATGAGCAGAGGGAACTGGAGCCCTGAGGGAGGAAGGAGCTGGAGCACTGAGGGTGGAGAGAGCTGGAGCACTGAGGGTGGAGGGAGCTGGAGCTGAAGTTGGAAGGAGCTGGAGCACTGAGGGAGGAGGGAGTTAGAGTCCTAAGGGAGGAAGGAGCTGGAGCACTGAGGGTGGAGGGAGTTAGAATCCTGAGGGAGGAGGGAGCTGGAGCACTCTTGAGCAGAAGGAGCTGGAGCACTGAGGGCAGAGGGAGCTGTCGCTTGTATCTTGTTCCTGTAGTTCATGGGGGTGACATCTCTGAGTTCTCTGAGTTCTTTGAGGGCTGTAGCTGCTTCCCCCACTTTTTCTGCACTGAGAATGGTGGCTCTGGAATGGAGTCCAGCACCCATCCTGGCCACTGGGGACTTCACGATGGCTTTGTGGCCCCAAGGCACACTGCAGGTCTTCTGACAGTCCTACAGGTGTCCCTGTCCCCATGTGCCAATGGGAAGATGAGGCTCAGGATCTGCGTGGAGTCAGAATGTGAACCCAGGTCTTTGACCCTCACTACACCGTGCCTCCCCCACAGAGGGCAAATTCTCTCACCCTGGGGTTCTGTCTTCCGTGAAGCTCATCCTCTAGGGCTCCCACCTTGGTGTCTGTCTTTAGCAAAAACACGACTCCTGGCTGAAAATTTGCAAGCCATCGAGTCCATAGGCAGAGGAAACGCAAGGTTTCCAAGTGGCCTCTAGAAGGTTCCTCTGCTGGTAGCTGCCTGCTCTTCTCCCCTCCCAGGATCCCTGAATCCCTGAGTGTTCACAACTATTCAGCTGGCCTGTGATCAGCTAGGACTCCTCTTGGGTGCCACACTGTCTCCAAGCCCCCAAGTGGCTGGGTCTCTGTGCCGGTGCTCTCTGCCCAGGTCCCTGGCACCCCCAAAGGCATGGCCTCCAAACACAGCATAACCCTCCCGGCTACTGAGATGGCCTTTGTTCAGGAGCACCTCTGAGTTCCAAGAACATTCCTGAGAGTTCTGCCCCAACACAGCCTCTGCTCTGAGGGCTCCAAGCACCCAGATCCTTTCCACAGCAGTCTCCTCTGCTGCTTTTCTGAAGCTGTTCTGAATCGGAGACACCAGAGACTACACACTGGGCATCTTCCATGTTCCAGACACCATCCATGTCACCCCCAAACCACCCACGGCCTTGACAGGTACACCCTGGCAAGCGGCTGTCTCTCGCCTTCAACAGGGACTTGTCGGATGAACAGACGACAGCTGTCGATTTTGCAGATTCAGGAACTGCAAGGCTCAGGCAAGGGGCTGGGGAGATAGCTCCGTGAGTTAAAGTCCTTGCTGTGCAAGCATGGGGATGTGAGTTTGGGTTCTAGCACCCTCACAAAGCGAGCTGGGTGTGTCTTCACCTGCCTCTAACCCTAGTGCTGTGGGGCACAGACAGGAGGGGCACTGGGATTGGCTGGCTGTCAGCCTGACTCCAGAGTCTCCAGATTCAGTGAGTGAGTGACCCTGTCTCAAGGGAGTGGGGGGGAGGGCAAGAGAACAGGTCACCCAATGCTCCTCTCCGACTGCTATGCTCACATTTAGCATGCAAGCACACACGCGCGCCAACCATCACAGCCAGTGTATACGGTGCTGGGTGGAACCCAGGGCCTCATACACGCGAGGCAAGCGCTCTGCCGACCGAGCGACATTACCAGCCCATATATTTTATTTCACAAAGCTTTGACATCTCAATGATCTTGATAAACAGAACGTGCCCCCTTGGAGGCTAGCCAATTCCTACAGCTAGGACCTGGCTCTCCTGCGGGCATGCTTTTCACATACCAGTCAAGCAAGTCAAAACCTTCAACCCAGCACCCACACACTTAACTCTCTCAGGCTAGTCCAATCAGTGTCAGCCCAATCGTCCCTCAAGGGAAGCCTGGGGCTGCTGAGGCGAATCTCACCAGCCAAGACACTCTGCTCCCTTTCTTCTCTTCAGACTCACTTGAACCAGTGACAACCCCACCCAGTGTGACTCAGCTTGGCATTGTAGCCCTCTTCTCCTGTGGACTGTAAATAGAAGACTCTTACATTGTCATCCTTTTTCTGACCTGCTGTCCTCACCCAGGACTCTGCAGAGCTCCCTGGACCGCACCATAGCTGTGGGGGTACAGCGGGAGTCCCCTACAAAAGAGTTGTAAAGGTAACACAAGTTCGGAGGAGGAGCTGGCGGTAGGACCTGGAGACAGCTGTCCATCGCTGGAGCCCAAGGCGGTCCTGAGACAAGGCTACGGCTTGTCTGTTTTTATCGATGACCACGGGGCACAGGGACACTGTGAGATAATTTCAGAGTGGAGCAGCGCTGTGATAATGAAAGGTAGGGAAGGCCGAGGCAGACTAGACGGACGGACGGACGCAGAGAGGAGGAATGTGGATGTGGCAGCCAGGGTGCTGCCAAGGTCATGTGAGAAACAGGTCCTTCAAGGCCACATGAGGGAGCCCCATATGCCCAGGACCCCCATTCCCATATCCTTCCTGGAAAGGAATACAATGGTCCAGTCAGCTCTGAGATGCCAGCACCCCGGGCGGCCTCTCTCTCTGCTCCCCCACAGAGGGGCAGGCCCCCACTCACCCCTTTTGGGCAGCCCCAAGAATGAGAATCTCACCTGAGGGCCCCTCTCTGTCCTCCGTTCCAGAAAAGAGGCAGCAGCTGGGCCTGCTTGGTTTGAAGCCTGACCTGACGCCTCCCACACGCTGCCTGGGCCACCTCCAAGATTCCTGGGAACTCAGGGAGGCTCCACTTCAAGACCCCCTGCCGCTTTCCCCTCTAGCTTCCTGATGCAGGCCTCAGGGCTGGGTAGCTTTCAGGAGAGATACCCAGAGGAGTCTGGCTTGAGTTGACCTGGGTCCAAGGCTATTCCCCACCAGAGATGGAGCCCCGGATCCCCTCCCCAGGCACACTTCCTCTGCTACAGTAGGCCTTTGTGGAGTGATCCCGTCTCTGGTTCCTTGTGGTTTCCCAGCCCACAGCAACAGTTTCTATTTTGTTCTGTCTTTTTCAGTCTCAGCTCAGGAGCAGCCGTGGGAGCAGGGTCACTCACAACCCTATCCTCCTTCTCTCCTTCAGCCCCAACTTTCTCTGGAGCCTGTAAAGTCCCCTCTGGGGACACTGCAAGATGCCACTTCCCTAGCCCACCTGTTGGTATCTGGCTCACTCACTATTGAATCCCTATACCCAGCTTGTCCCCAGGAGTCACTTAGTAGCTGTGTGACCCTAGGAAAGTAACTATATCTCTCTGTTTCTTCATGTGAAACAAGAACACAATGACACTCCCCCCCACCCCCAAGCCCAGTGAGGAGGTTACTGGACAAACTGTTGAATAATGTCACACAGAAAAGCATGTGGCTCCATGGGTAATGTCCCAGATTCTACATCCTGGGTTCAAATCTAGACATTCTCACTAACTGAAAACATCATCTCGGGTAGTCCTGCTTGGGAGAGCTGTCGTGAGCCTTAAATGAATCAGAGCGTGTATTAACACTTGTAACAATGGTAAAGGATGAGCAGTGCCAGAGAAGGGATGACGGAATGTTCTAGAAACAGGACATTGTGCACGTGTGCGAATCCAACAAACTTTCTCTCTCTCTCTCTGTCTCTGTCTCTCTCTCTCTGTCTCTCTCTGTCTCTGTCTCTCTCTCTGTCTCTCTCTGTCTCTCTCTCTGTGTCTCTCTGTCTCTGTCTCTCTCTCTGTGTCTCTCTCTCTGTCTCTGTCTCTGTCTCTCTCTCTCACACACACACACACACACACACACACACACTGCCCTCTTCACTTTTTGGAGCGGGGGTTTCTGACTTGCTCTGGAGCTCCTCAGTGCAGCTCAACTGGCTAGCCATCAAGCCCCAGAGATACCCGGGATTATCAGTGCACGCCACCATTCCTAGCTTTATTTTAACTCTAGGGATCCAAGTTGGAGCCTCATACAAGTATGGCAGGCACTCTGCTGCCTGAGCTACCTCCCCAGCCCTCTTGGCCCTCTACCCCTCCTCCCTCCCTCTCTCGCAGCAGCATCGAGGAACACTCATGACTACTTCTCTCCCTAGGACCTAACCACAGGATCTTTCACATGGCCCTCGGAACTCAGCTCCACACAAAAATACTTGTCTACTGTGTGCCAGACACCGAAGGGGATCCAGTGGTGAAGGAGACAGAGCCCCTGCCTTCTGGTGGGGAGAGACCGTCAGTAAAGGCCCATGCTCGGCAGTGACAGGTGCTGCGGCCAGGACCTCTATTCTGCCTTCTCATTTCTCAAGTCTTCTCCTTGGGGAAGGCTGGGTGTGGGGTGTGTGGCCACGGGACATGCGGATGA